AAAATGATACAATGCTTAATGAAATCCTTATGGCTATGTTTGTGCACAACTCTTCATTCAATTATTTATATATTGCTTTATTCAAGTATTACATATGTAAAATAAGTTATGCCAGACATGTTAAGTGAAATAAAATTCAAAATATCCTTTTTCTCCTTTGTTTTTAGTAAATTCCAGAATAAAGAATTTCTGAAAAATGTAAACATGCAGAAATCCCCAAGATATTTGCTAACCATGACTCATGCCTCTCTTTCAGGATGAACCGGATGGTATTTTCTGAGCTAATAAACTAGGCAAAGGAATCAGCTGGAACGAGAGGAAAGAAGGGCTCTCACTGCTAAGATATTTAAATGAGCTATCTTGTAGATATTAAGGCTGAAATACAAAAATCCTAATGACGATTCTGAGGTTCACACAATCAGCATGTGGAAAAAATTAAATGTGACAGGTTGAATGAAATGAATTAAGAAGAGAATTTTCTACAGGACAATATTCAACATTGACTCGATTAATATTTAGCAGTCAGTTAACAGATTTTAGCACAGTCAGAGGAGAGGAGGAAAAGTAAGTAGATATTTCTTTTCTTAGCACTTGAGAAGAAAAGTTTTAAATGTTTTTGAAAGGTGAAATGTGAAAGGAATGGAGGAGCAGCCATTGCGTCTAACAGCGTGGAAATCATGATAGCTTCAGTAGACGTGATTTCTAGGTTACATTGGATGGATGAGAAATGAATAGTATAGGAGAAGTCCTGAGCACGTACATGGAGAGGAAAATGCAGAAGTAGACCTATTAGTGAAAATTCACAGAAATTATATACTAAAACTTTAAAAACAAAACAAAACAAATAATCTGAAATCCCATATGATATAGGAAAGAACAAGAACAAGAAATCCTGAAAGTAATCAACAGAAATTGTGAAAAATACAATAATTAAACTAGGAAAACTCAATAAAATTGCAAAAGTAAACTGGAATAGACAAAGAAAGCATGGATTATAAAACAGATCTAGAATAAGTTAGTGAGAATGCAAGGTAGTGAACTAACAAATACATATCAAAAGGCGTTAAGGAACATGAGGAATTGAATAGGATGTTTTAATAAATATTTATAGAGGATCACTTAGAAGGAATTGATATTACAGCAATATTTTAACAAGTGATGACTGAAATTTTTCGGAGACTGTGGAAAGTCATTCAAATTAAGAAAATTGAGGGGAGTTGGTTTTATTGGAAGGGAGGGGGAGAAGGATGAAAAGAGCTGGCATTGATTAAGATGCATTGAATTCATAAGCTGATTTGTAGAATGAATGGCAACTCCCTTGTACAATTCTTTCAGATAATAAAAATATACTTAAAAAGAAATACATGAAATAAAAATGGAATGAATCCAGAATGTAGATACATCACAGAAAAATTAAATATGAAATATCACATATATTACCAAGAATCAGAGAGACTGACACCATTATCTAAAAGATCTACCACCTTATTACGGGGCGGGGGGGAGGGGGGAGTCTTTGTGCAACAATAGTTACAGAAACCAGTGGAATATTAGAATGCCAAGAAAATAATGACATTTTCAGATATGTGAAAGTAGAAAAAGTTTAGTGAGCACTCTCTCTGGATTGAACTACCAGAAGATATTCTTCAGCAAAAAGATGATGCTTATTGAAATGAACTCCAAGAAACAGAAACAAGAGGTTTTTTTTAATTGTACTGTTTGAAGTATGTTATTTTCTTTTTTCCCCTTTTGTCCTTGATTTTTTTATTTCTATACCCTTTGTCTTGTATGTAAATTTATCTGAATTTATTTGATTTGGGGAGAGTAAGCGTAAGAGAGGGTGGGACCAAGGGTGAACCAATTCAGCTGTGATACTAGATACTATGTTGGAAATGAGCTATACAATTTGGGCAGGGGAGGGGAGCAGGGGGTCAGGACAGAAAATATTGGAGGAAATGAGGGAAGGGGTAACACTGTTCAAAAAGAAATGTACTTATTAGCTGACTTATGTAACCATAACTCATCTGTACATTACCTTTGCAATAAATTTTTTTTAAATTATACAATGAACCCCCCTAACAACATGGAAAAAATCACTGGTAAGCAAAGAAATAGTAAACATAGAAACATATCTAATAAGCACCAATTTAGTTTCCCTGATTAATTCAAGGTACACACAGGAAGATGCTGGATCACTTTTGTTGTAAATGAGAGCCTTGGGACTCCTGGCAGAGATGTGTTCATTTTCTGCTTTCTATGTAAGGCATACACACACACACACACACACACACACACACACACACACACACACACACATAGTTGTTCTTTTTAAAATCTATTCCTTGTCTATTCATACTTTCCTACAAGTTAATGTCATGTTTCTGAATTTTGGTTTTGCTTTATAAGAAGGCCTTGAGTTAAAAAAAAACAGACAAAACATTTTCTGAGTTTCTTAAAATATTTTATTACAGACTACTGAATGAGTAAGTTTCAAAAGGAAACTTACTTAGAAACTTTCTCTATTGGAAGTCTTTACTTCCAATGGAGAAATGAGTCAGAAATGAAGACTCAAGTGCTCTAACTCTACAAACCCAGACATCAAATTCAGCTCGAATAGTTTTTGTTTGTTTTGTAGGATGATACATAAATGAGGATTGCTGGATTTCTGTGAATCTTGATTTCTAGGTTGACAGCACAGAATTTTTCACGTACGGTTTCAGCTTACAAACATCAAATTGTCAAATCTCCTTAAAATTGCGCCCATGTACACAGCAAATGCAATTTTCACTAGTCACGTAATTGATTCTCTCTTAGAGGCGCCCAACAACTATGAAGGCCAATGCTAGAGGATGGGAACTGCCTGATGCCACTTGGGCTACCAGTAGTATGAACATTGGCGGTGTGGCAGCCATGTCCCTGTGCCCTGGGGCATTGTGGCTTTCCGACCTTCCTATATTCTTTTGGAAGCACAGGGCTCAAGTCACATCTATAAAATGTGGCCGCAAATGTGATGCAGGAATATCAGTCATCATAACAAAGCGCCTTTTTATTAAAACTTGCTGCAAAGAAGAAAGAAGTTAATGGAAAATTTCAATATGGCTTTGCGAGATGGATTTGGCACTGCGTTGTAATAGTCCTTTGGAACTAAGGTGGTAAACAAAAACAGGGCGCTCACTTTGACATTGGACACCTGGTCCTCATATTCATCATCTTGCCCTTTAAGTATGTATAATGAATGCACGTCTCCTTCGATTGCTTGCTTCATAAATCTAATTTAGGTATTTACATATTTATTAATTTTACTATTTATAATGTTGAATGGTATGTCTTTTTTCTGCTATGATATTGCTTACCAAAATAAAATGCCTGACTTACAAAATATTAGTTTACTACATTCCAGTTTCCATTTAATTTTCCCAGAATGTGAGACGCTACAAGCCACTTAATAGAGTTTTAGCATAAATATCCTATATCATATGGGCCCATGGTACCTAAATGTCTCTGTAATTTGCTAGAAATAAAATTTTACTTGGTTGTCTAGACCCAATCCATAATATAATATTTTTTCAGCTAATTGGCTCACTACAGTCAATTAAATGGAATATTCTTTACAAAGACAAATCTGTTAAACACGTAATTGTGGTTGAGCCCATTATTAAAATTCTCAGGACTGACAATTACATGAACCCAATTTCAGTTGGGCCATCAGCATTTGCTCAGTAGATATGAGTACTTTATTGCTTTCTAAAAGAAAAATAATAGAATGATAGTAACAGAATTTTGACTGCACTGTCATTTTGAAATTACATGCAAGCAATCTATCAGATATCTTTTTAAGCTAATTGGCAAAGAGGAATATGGTTTTAGGATTCTTACTCTGTTGGCAAGATGGAGACAAATTAAAATGTTAGATATAATTAAACCATGGCATTTGAAGGACTTGAGAGTTCATCTATCTAGTCAACTCATCTTCCTCTGAGAAGGTACAAACTTAAATCACACTTCCAGGCTGTTCTCTCAGCCTTTTTAAAGATGCCCCTTTGATTAGCTTAGCAATACAAAGTAATGTCTTACAGTGCTCACCACTGAAATTATCTTTGTATCTGAATACCTCTAGCTGCAGACAAAATACTATTGCTACCAGTTTTATGTTATTAAAAAAACTCCTTTTAACTGCTTTTTATTCATCTTTTACTCTTTTTTGCTACCTTTGAACAATTTTAGGTTTTTGTTTGGTTTTTTTTTGATAGTCCTGGGTCTTGAACTCAGGGCCTGGGTGATGTCCCTGATAGGCTAGCAGTCTACCGACTTGAGGCACAGCTCCACTTCCAGGTTTTTTGGAGCTTGATTAGATCCAAGTCTCATGGACTTTCCTGCCTGATCTGTCTTTGAACTATGATCTTTAGATCTCAGCTTCATAAAGAGCTAGGAATATAGGCACCTGGATCACTTTAGTTATTTTCAGGATTTTGCATTAAAGGTTAATGCACTCTGGTTGTTTGTAGTGGAGAACATCTGTTATCATCATCATGCTGGAGGCAGAGGTTGGAGGATCCAGCCCCAAGTATATAGTAAACCCTCCCTAGAAAGGCAAAGGGCTGGGGACATTGCTCAGTGGGAAAATGCCTTCTTACTAAACCTAAGTCATTAAAAAAGTCCCTATCTCATTTACACTTTGGAAGGTAGAGCTGGACAAAGCTGGAAATGTGTACCAAATATCCTTAAACAAAACAACAAAACAATGTGAAAGTGGATTTCAGTACAGTAGAATTCCTCAACACTCCTGCCTGGAGTGTATGTGTGTATGTGTATGTATGTGTGTTTTCAAATTCTGCAGCCCTTTACTTTCTATGCATTTTTCTCATTGTTTATAATTAACTCCTAAATAGATCCTCCTTTTCAGTTTATTAGGTTAATATTTACCTTTGGAAGCTTGTTTCATATGAAGGAATTTTCATCTATGACAAGTTAGGAGAACTTTGGGGGAGAAAGGAACTCACCCTGGGAGTGAAGGTGGCGTCGTTGATTGAATGCATGTGGCCGTACAACGAATGCTCACATTTACCCTAGGAAGACAAACCAGATGCAAAATTAAATATGTTCCATGTATCGTATTTAACAATTATTTTACTTAAGCCTAATTTTTAACTGTATTTTTTTGTCTTTTCTTTTTTGGTACTGGGGATCAAACCCAGGATGTTGCACTTGCTAGGCAAGCACTTTGCCACTGAGCAAAAAAATAAAATAAAATTAACGTATGATCAAGATTAGAAAATCTGAGCCTTTGCCATCAACTGCTATTCAGCATCACATAGGGATGGGCTGCTGAGGTACCTGTGTTGGGGTCTGCAAGGCAATTTTGTTGTTTTCAGCATTTGTACCACTGAGCAGAGATGAAACCTGCCTACTACCTTGTTTCTAGCACAGTCCTCCCTCCACTATGGGAATGAGGTTAGGGGACAGAAGATTTGATGATTTCTTTTAACTTTTTAATTTTCTTTTGAGATTATAGGACCACAATCAAAGGCCGTGGTTTTCAAAGTTTGGCATTCATATTACTACTTGTACAATACATTGCAGAACACAGATAGTGGTAATTTAAAATACAGAATAGACATTTGTTTGGCAAAAACCATATTTCACATATTGACATCTTTCACATTCAATAGCTGAAGTCAAAGTTACGTCCAAATACTCTCGAACATCAGTTTCAATGGACACATGGCAGCGGGAACCTCCACGTGGAGTCTCACAGTTTGGTACTGTCAACCTGTGTAATTAGAAGACCCAAGGAAAATACGCTGGACAGTTATTTGGAAATTCATGTTATGGCCTTTGGAGTTCAGATTTTATTCAATAATATGTTACATACAGTTCTATGAGCTTAAATGTGGACAATGAAAATAAAGAACATCGCCTTACAGGCCTTATGCAGGGGAGATACATATTTTGTTAAAAGATAAAAGCGTGTGAGGAGATAAGTGTAATGAAGGAGATGTCTATTTGGGTTACAGATATTAATTTGGGATTCTGAAAATGGCACCCTAACAGGTGATGCTTTGACAAGCTGAGCTTGGAGAAATAGTCTCAGAACTGAGATAATCTCTCTTCTTCCCTCCATCCTACTCAAGTGCAGAGAAGGGCTCTTCTGGGAGTTCTTTTATCTGACCAAAGGAAGCTCTTCCAACAATAAGGTAGTTTCTTTGATCTCCCTCCTGAAATCTTTTTTTTATTAATAAGTTTTTTTTATTATGACAATACCATACAGAGGGGTCACAATTACATGAGCAAGGTAATGAGTACATTTCTTATCAAACATTGTTTCCTCTTCCTTAGTTTCTCCTTAGCATCCCTGATCCCCACATCCCCCTCCCAAAGTTGTAAAGTTTGTTTTTCAACATAACGTTTTGTACATCTCACTGCTGCAATGGGTCCACCCGTATCCCTATTTAAATCATTTGTTAGGCTCCTATGGCTGGAAGTCTAGGATGCCATCACACCCACTCTGTCCCATGCTGTTGTTGGTTCAGAGCTTCCAATGAGAGCCATTCTCAACATTTGGGACCAATCAAATCTTCAAAATAATTTACTACTCTGAAATTGCCTCCAATTCCTGCTTCCCCTGTCCTCTATGAAGAGGGTATTGAAGCCACACCCACATATTCCTTCATTGAGCTTCATAACTGAATGGCCCAGATCCTGTGCTTTGGCCCATTAATAATTCTGTACACTTTTCCCCCTCTATTTATCTTTCTATAGTCAGTTTATGTCAGTGAACCTTCAGAGGGTAGAGGGACAAATTTCCTCACCACTGTAGGCCTTAAGCAAATCATAACCAGAGTGATCCAGTTTGGCCTCACTGAACAAGGATTTTAAATAGAGGGCTGACAAAAGCAGACTTATAAGAAGCCACTATAGCTGGAGAGAAGTCCACTGCTGGGGATATTTCCTCAAAAGTCTTCCTCTATTTGTAGCCTTAAATGTTGGGCCATCCACCAGCTGGTTATGCTGACAATTCTAACTACTCAGGAGACTGAAACCCAGTATTGTGATTCAAGACTGGCCCAGGTAGAAAAGCCCTTGCCAGGATAACCAGAAAGAGGTAAGGCTGAAGGCATGATCAAATGGTAGAGTGGTGGCTGAGGAAGCATGAGGCACTGAGTTAAAACACCAAGTAAGAGAAGTGTCTCCAAAATGAGATAGTAAAGGGAGTTTATCATGTTGTTCCCTCACTGTTATCGGTCACTCATGGCATTTTTCTAAAATAAAGCAAGGTTGGAAAGGTGTATTACTATGCTTTGTTATAGTCCCCACCATTGCCATTTTATTACAGCGAATTAAATTTCAAGTGTCTATTACAGAATTATTGCATGCTACTAATCCCTGTTCATAGAAGGCAAGAGTTTCCCCACACACATTCAAATGTCACCAAAATTTATGCAGCAACACCTTAATATTCTCTCAGAATTCATGCTCCCTCCCTTTTGTAAGTCTGGCTCAGTGTCTTAACACTGTTATAATATTAAATCAATTTATGCTGAGAACTTCAAACTATTCAAATTCCCAAAGTAGAAATGAATTACTTACAAAGCCCAACAGACTAAGTATAGTTGTTATAATAATTATTATTTTTTTATCTTAGGGACTTTCATGGTTAATTTTCTTTGGGAATTAAATAGACAGTGATCATATATTATATGTATGTAGCAAGTGTGCATATTTTTACACAGTTTTTAATAGACAAATGTGCCTTAAGATATTTCTTTGCGTTTGCTCTTCTAACTTGAGAATGTCTAAAATATTTGATTAATTGGTAAGGAAAATGTAGTTTTCTGAATCAAATCCTGAGTGCCAAGTTTTAATTCAAAGGAGAGTCTCTAAGGCACTGTTGAAAAGCCCTGGAAATATGGGGTTATAATGGAAATGCTGACGGACCACATTCGTGCTGCTGTAACAAAACCTGACTCGAAGATAAATGTTTTATGAATTAAGAAAAGTTAAAAAAGCTTTTCTATCCAGCTTTGTTCCCAAGATAAAAGTGAATCTACACTTTTTGAGGTAGAGGGAATATGTGAGCTACTAATATTTCAGCCTGCAAACAGCCTTAATCAAAAGCAATACCCAAACCGAGACATTAAAATTTGGAATATTTTCTCTGATGAATCCTTGTCAAAACTGTTTTCCTTCAAAGGAGTGAAAAAACTGTTAAAGAGCTCATGTACTGCTTCTGTATTTGCTTCTCTGAGTGGTAAAGGCCGTGGTTTCTATCACTAGCTGTGGAATCTGTGTCTCATATCTGTGTAACCTTAAAACAATTGCTTCATTGTGTACTGTGTACAATGATGTAATGGCATTTAACCTTTAGCTTTGTTAGGAGAATCACTTGAGTTGGCGATGCATGTGAAATGTTGGTGTACAGCCTCTCACAAACAAAGAGCTTAACAAATCTAGGTTTTTCAGTTCAAGGGAAGAGTTAAAGGTAGAGCTGTTAGTTTACATACCACCAATTGTTTCCCTTATAATGTATACACATGACATTATCAGTTGCTCAAACAGTAGCAAAATCAAAGAAAGCAATGAAAAATAAATACCTTCTTCTACCTCCTTCTCTGCCCTTTCCAGTCCCATCCCACCTCTCTGGGGTAGGACATCCACCTACCCAGCAGATAACAGCAGGAGCCCCCTGACTGTCTATCTGTTCCATTCACCTTACAGCTGTGAGAGAATCAATACAGCCAGAATCAGATCATGCCATATGTCATGAAAAAAATGACCAATAAACTCGGAATCATTTCCAAGCTCTCTTCAGAGAAGCAAAGGCTCTGTAGCGCTTGGCTTTCTATCTGCCTGACCTTTTACGGTAACACTCCTCCGTTCAACTTGCTGTGCTTCTCGAATATTTTCATGTTACTTCATTGTCAGGGCCTTCCAAGCAAAGAGTACTGACATCTGAATTGAAGGATGATTGAAAACAACCCTTAGAAACCTCCAGAGAGGGTAGGAACATTTGCCCTGGAGGCATGTATGTACCGTGCACAGGTTCAAGCCTAGAGGCCTACACTTCTCCTAGAGATCTGTTTGCATTTGAAAGCAAAGCAAACTCAGAGCAAAGGTTTTTTTTATTATTTTTTAGAATATCCTCTCTCTCTATTCCAACCCTGGAGGAGAATACAATTTCATAGTTTGAGGCTGCCTTTCCAAGACACAACCACTGTACCTGCAGGGTACGCCTGCTTCCCTCCAGGGAGAGTAGATAATAATTCTGCTAAATGGTTTGAGCTCCGATTCAGAAACTTCTTGTTCCCTATCAGGATGATACATAAGTAAACACCGATAGCTAGACATCAAGCTGTCACTAGGCCCTCCTGTTTATCTAACAGTCCTAGCACACTCCTCCCTTTACACTTGCTTTTCTTCACCTTGGATGCTCTTGTGTAAATATACAATATATGTATCCTTGTATCCTTCTCACCATTCTGTTTGTCTCTCCCGTATCTTTTTGTTTGTTTGTTTTGGTACTAGGGCTTAACCTCGGGGCCTGGGCACTGTCCCTTAGCTTTTCACCCAATGCTTACATTCTCTCATTTGAGCCACAACTCCATTGATGGTTTTTTGGTGATTAAATTGGAGATAAGATTCTCACGAACCATCCTGCTTAGGCTGGTTTTGAACCATGATCCTTAGATTTCAGCCTCCTGAGTAAGTAGGATTGCAGCATGAACCACCAGCTGGGCACCTCTCACACCAATTTTCTTTTTTTTTGCTGTTGTTGTCTGTTGAGGGGCCTGAACTCTGTTGTCTGTTGAGGGGCCTGAACTCTGGGCCTAGGAGCTGTCCCTCAGCTCTTCAGCTCAAGGCTAGCACCCTACCACTTTGAGCCACAGCACCACGAGGAATCAAACCCAGGGCTTCAGGCATGCAAGGCAAGCACTCTACCACTGAGCCACCTTCCCAGCCCTCACACCAATTTTTTGATGGTATGTGAGATCTAATATTCCTGACTTCTCTCTTCTACCTTATCATTTCAGTAGCAGAAAACATTTTATGTAACATTTTTTCCTCTTAG